GTCACACAGGGAGAGCCGTGTACACTGACCAGTGTGACACACAGGGAGAGCCGTGTACACTGACCAGTGCAGCACACAGGGAGAGCCGTGTACGCTGACCAGTGCAGCACACAGAGAGAGCCGTGTACATCGACCAGTGTGACACATAGCGAGAGCCGTGTACACTGACTGGTGTGACACACAGGGAGAGCCGTGTACATTGACCAGTGTGACACAGGGAGAGCCGTGTACATTGACCAGTGTGACATACAGGGAGAGCTTTGTACACTGACCAGTGTGACATACAGGGAGAACAGTGTGTAATGACCAGTGCGTCATACAGGGAGAGCCGCGTATACTGACCAGTGCGACACACAGGGAGAGCCGTGTACAGTGACCAGTGCGACACACAGGGAGAGCCGCGTACACTGACCAGTGCGACACAGCGAGAGCTGTGTGTAATGGCCAGTCTCCTCCCTTTTTTAATTCCACTTGCTGGCCTGTTGCTCCCAAACATTCCACTGTTCAAACCCATTGATTTTACTTTCCTCTGTTAATTGCTGCTCTCCTTTGTCCCTACTCTCTCTTCCCTGCCACCTCTTGCTGCTGAATGAAACCTAAACCATTTTGCTAAATCTCCTCAGTGGCCCTGAACCCTGTGTCCATACTCCCATGTCCCTGGGTGAGTTTCCCTGTAGGAGCGTACAGTAACAGGCCCTCGAGCAAGTATCTGGGAGGCCTGTACCCTCTTGGTGTGTTTACAGAAGGTGAAATGTTGCCAGCTCCAGGAAGCTGCATTGTTTTTCCTTTTCTCAAATGATTTCAAAACGCAGTGACCCAGCATGCAATGTAAGGAAGCAGAAGGCAGGGGAGCGATATCTATTTGTCCTGGGTGAGTGCAGGCCAGTTATTGTAGATGGTATATGGAGCACTGCGCAGACTGAGAGAAAGAGAGAGAGAGAGAGAGAGAAACCAACCCAGAGGAATCCGAAACATCCAGAGGGAGAGCCATGCTGAAACATTCCAGCTGTGTCTAAATGAAAGGATGTTGAGAACGTCTTCAGTCCATCAGGGGTGTGGGGGTCATTTCATCAGCAAGACTTTGGACAGGGGCCTGGCGAGTCTTGGTGTGAATTCAAAAGGGGGCAGGTTGTTCCTGTTGTCAGTCTTCAGCGGAACGGGTCTCTAAGTGTGAGGAATCATTCTCTGATCACCATCGCTCACCACCCTCCAGTTCAGACTGCAGCTAGATTCCAAGCAAGCTCATTGTAAAGGCAGGGAGCGGCTGCCTCTCCACATCATTGCTTTGAAGTCGGAGGGTCGCACCTTCATCTCAACAAATGGAATGGACAGCTCGTGACCTCTCCAGCTGAACCAGTTTATACCCTGGAAAGGCAAGAGGCAAAATCAGATAGGGGAAACAAAGCAATGCCATGCTCCAATATCGATCTGCTCATGTTAAACAGTACAGCACAGAATTATTTGGCCATTACAGCACGGAGAGAATCCATTCATTCCATCTAGTCCATATTATCTTCCAATAGAGCAATCCAGTCAGTCTCATTGCCCACACTCTCCCCGTTACTCTGCAAGAATGTTTCCCTCAAGTGTCCATCCAATCTGCTTTTCAAATCATTCATCGTCTCCACCTCCAGGACCCACCCCCGTTCTTCCTCACATTCGTAGAAACATAACAGTATGGAAACAGGCTATTCAGCCCATTGAGTCTGCACTGACCCTCCAAACAGCATCCCGCCAGGACCCAGCCACCCTATCCCCGTAACACCGCGTTCCCCATGGCCAATCCACCTAACCTGCACATCTTCGGACTGTGGGAGGAAACCGGAGCACCTGGAGGAAACCCACGCAGACATGGGGAGAATGTGCAAACTCCACACAGACAGTCGCCCGAGGGTGGAATTTAACTGAGGTCCCTGGTGTTATGAGGCAGCAGTGCTAAGTACCAAGCCACCTTGCCATCCCATTCCCCTCACACCTCCACATCTCCCGGCCAAAACCTACCCTCTGTACCATCAGCCAATGGGACCAGCTCAAGGGCAGCTGATGCATGGGAACACCACCCTCTGCAAGTTCCTCTCCAAGCCATTCACCATTCTGACTCGCAAATATAGTGCTGTTCCTTCAGTGTCACTGGTTCGGAATCCTGGAATTCCCTCCCCCCTAAGGGTATCATGGGTCTGCCTACAGACTGCATGGACTGCAGAGGTTCAAGAAGGCAGCTCACCACCACCTTCTCAAGGGCAGTTAGGGACGGACAATAAATACTGGACCAGCCAGCAACACGCATGTCCCATCAGAGACAGTCTGTAGAGAGGAGACCATTTGACATTGGCAGGTTGTGCATGTTCCCTGCAACCTGTCAGCTTGGGAACAGGGTCTTCACTGCTCACCTGACTGTGGCGATTCTCCCCATATTTTCCGTTGAGATTAGCGCGATGACAGTTTTTATACCACCAGGCTCCCTTGTAAGACAAGGCACAGTTTGTGATCGCAACATCGTTGTCCCGGTCCTTGGTGGAGAATGGGCGTCCCTGGTGATAGGAAAGGGAGTCCCCTGTGGATATAGAGATGTACAGTCACTTACAGAACAGAATGTGACCATTCAGCTTTCTCCTCGCACATAATTCCTTTTCACCTAATATCAAAAGGATTCTGGGTAATTCCAGATGGAGGACGTGAAAAAATTGTGGCTGGAAGAGCTGCTCCTTTTTTGCGGTATTTTCAGTGTTGGAGCTGACTTCCTCGAATTCTAGGAGTAATTACTGTTTTATAAGCTATTGCATTGTTTTGGAACTTTGAAGAAAAAAGATCAAAACAACAGGACATTTTGAAAAGAAAAAGGAGGAAGGGAGAGAGTTTGGATACCAAGCAGGAGGTGAAAAAACAGAAAAGTTAACCTGCACAGCTGCATGACCAGGCAGTGAGCCTGCACAGCTAACAGCCTCTGCTGTTTAATTTCAAGTCTCTCTGGATATGGGAGTTCCATCTAAGAAAAATAAACAAACAGTGAAATTCACAGCTGACCTTGGAAAAACCTATGTGGGGAGCTCGCAGCAGGGGAACAGCTAAATTGTTTTTTTTTAAGTTGTAACCTTACTATTTTTTGTTAATCTACAGTAGTGAGTAGAGTGGTTTTTTTTTTAGATTTTATGTTTTATTGAGATCTCTTGACAATGATATGTTTTATACTTGATATGTTTTATCTCTTGACAAACTTTAAAAATATAAAACATAGATACTATGTTGTCCTGGAGCAGCATTTTTGGAGCAGTAACATTGTGCTATTTTCTGGATCTGTAGATTGTTAAGGTGCAAAAATGGCCTTTAGTAGAGTGATATACTCTTCCTGTTGGATGTGGGAGGTTAGATGGAGTTTCCATGTTATTGATGATTACGTCTGTAGGAAATGTGTTTGGTTGCAAATCCGATCGGATTGCGTGGATTGGTTGGAGCAACAGTTAGAGGCAATGAGGAATTTATGGGAGCTAGGGGATGTGATGGATGGCAGTTTCTGGAAGGTAGACTAAAACCATAGATACAGTCAGGTAGATGGGTTACCTCCAGGAAATGTGGTGGAGGGAGGCAGATAGCGCAGGATTCTCCTCTGGCTATCCCCATCTCAAATAGGTATGCTGTTTTGGAAAATGTAAGGGTTGAGAGACTGTCAGAGGAATGTAGCACTGAGAGGCAGGTTTCTAGTACTGAGACTCGCTCCAATGCAACAAGGCGTATGTCAGGGTCCAAACGATCGATTGCGATAGGGGACTCTCTAGTCAGAGGCACAGACAGACATTTCTGCGGTTGACAGCAAGACAGCAGAATGGCGTGTTGCCTCCCTGGTGCCAGGATTAAGGATATTTCGGAGAAGGTGCAGAATATTCTCAAAAGGGAGAGGGACTAGAAGGAGGTCATTGTACACATTGGAACTAACGACACAGGACGAGAAAAGGACAAGGTGCTGAGGAGAGAATATAGGAATTTAGGCAGGAAGCTAAAGAGTAGGCCCTCAAGGGTAGTAATATCTGATTACTCTTGGTGCCACGAGCTAGTGAAAGTAAGAAGAGGAAGATAGAGCAGATAAATGTGTGGCTGAGGAGCTGGTGCATGAGAGAAAGATTCACATTTTTGGATCATTAGAATCCCTTCTGGGGTAGAAGTGATCCTGTATAAGACGGATGGATTGCACCTGAATTGGAAGGGGACTAATACACTGGCGAGGAGATTTGCTCGAGCTGCTCGGGAGGATTTAAGAGGGTTGGTGGTGGGGGGGAGCCCAGGTAGATTGTAAGAAAACAGTATCAGTCTGAGACTGGTGCAGTTGGGAAAAGGAGCAAGTCAAACCATCACAGCAGGCAGGAATGAAGCAGAGAACTAGGTAGGACTGATAAATTAAACTGCATTTCATGGGACTGGGATACCATCACTATTACAGAGACGTGGCTCAGGGATGGACAGGACTAGCAGCCTAAAGCTTCAGGGTATGGATGCTATAGGAAGGATCGAAAAGTGGGCAAGGGGGGAGGGGAAGTGGTATTTTTTTGAGGGATAACATTACGGCTGTACTTAGGAAGGATATTCCTGGGAATACGTCCAGGGAAGTTATTTGGGTGGGATTGAGGAATAAGAAAAGGATGATCACCTAATTGGAAGTGTACTGTAAAACCACCCCCATCCACCCGCCCAATAGTCAGCAGGAAATTGAGAAACAAATTTGTAAGGAGACCTCAGTTATCTGTAAGAATAATAGGGTGGTAATGGTAGGAAATTTTAACTTTCCAAACATACACTGGGACTGTCATAGTGTTAAGGGCTTGGATGGAGAGGAAATTGTTCAGTATACAAGAAAATTTTCTGATTCAGTCTGTGGATGTACCTACTAGAGTAGGTGCAAAACTTGACCTACTCTTGGGAAATAAGGCAGGGCAGGAGACTGAGGTGTCAGTGGGGGAGCACTTTGGGAGCAGTTGACCATAATTCTATTGGTTTTAAAATCGTGATGCAACAGGTTAGACTGGATCAAAAGTTAAAGTTCTAAATTGGAGGAAGGCCTATTTTGATGTTATTAGACAAGAACTTTCAAAAGTTGACTGGGGCCAGATATTCACAGGTAAACGGACGGCTGGAAAATGGGAAGCCTTCAACAATGAGATAACAAGAGCCCAGAGACAGTATGTTCCTGCTCAAGTGAAGGACAAGCTGGTAGGTGTAGGGAATGTTGGATGACTAAAGCATTTAAGGTTTTGGTCAAGAATAAGGAGGAAGCATATGTCAGGTGCAAACAGCAGGAATTGAGTGAATCCCTAGAAGTGTATAAGGCCAGTAGGAGTATACTTCAGAGGGAAATCAGGAGGGCAAGACAGGGACATGAGATAGCTTTGGCAAATAGGGTTAAGCAGAATCCAAAGGGATTCTACAAATACATTAAGGACAAAAGGATAACGAGGGAGAGAATAGGACCCTTTAAAGATCAGCAAGGCTGCCTTTGTGTGGAACTGCAGGACATGGGGGTGATACTAAATGAGTATTTTGCATCAGTGTTTATTGTGGAGGAGGATATGGAAGATAGAGAACTTGGGGAAATAAATAGCAACACCTTACATCTGTTTATTCTTATATCTATTGTTCTTGGCCCTTCCTCCAATGGGAGCAGTTTCTCCCCAACTTCTCTGTTTTATCTGTTCCTGATTTTCGCTCAAATCTCACTCTCAGCCTTCTTCTCTCCAACGAAAGCAGTCCCAACTTCTTACTCTGTCCTCATCACTGAAGTTTCTCATTCCTGGAACTATTCTGATAAATCACTTCTGCATTCTCTCCAATGCATTCACATCCTTCCTATAATGTGGCGCCCACAACTGTGCATTTATGCTCCAGTTGAGGCCTGATTAGTGTTTTTATACAAGGTCAGCATCACCTCCCTGTTCTTGTCCCTCTGCTCCTGCAACCCCTTTACTTAATATTGTCATTCAATGTTTTTCCAACCAAAATCAACCACTTTACACTTCTCTGCATTGAATTATTTCAGTAATGTGTCCACCCATTGCACCAAGCTGTTTGTACCATTGTGCAGTTTAATTATTTGAAAGATATCCTATGTGACAAGCTTGTACTATAACAATTGACTGGAAAATGGATTTTTTAGAAATCAAAATAATTATTATCTCCCCAGCCTAGAACCAATCTGATGTCCTTAGGGAGATCTGGTCCTTACCCGCTCTGATGTACACATGACTCCAGTTGCACAGCAATAGGATTGGCTCTTAATTGCCCCCCAAAATGGCTTAGAAAGGTACTTGGTTCACGGGCAATTAGGGATGGGCAACAAGTGTCTGTCACTCTCACATTCCATGAAAGAATCAAGAAAAAGAAGTTCTGACTTACTGCTTCCATCTGACTTTGAATCGCCTGTTTCGTTATTTAATAAATTTTATTATTTTGTTGCCCCACAGAATTTCCTATTTCACAGACTTGAGAACCTGACTCTGGGGGTGTACTTTACTAAGAAGGTTCTATTAGAACCTTATTGTATTCAATAACATTACAATCTGGCTTTAACTTACTAAAAAGCCATCCGGATGAGGATAATAATCTTGGCTGGCTCCTTTCCCTTGGGAAAGGATTCGACCAGCCGTTCAGATCTGTTTAAGCATCTCTAGGATTTGCCTTTCTCTACCCGAAGTTGAGTGGAATCATCCGAGGGCTATTCCTGACTGGGATTTTCCCAAAAAGAGCCTAGGATTACAATAGACCACAGGTTATTAATAAATATCAGATCCTCCCTATTTTCATAGTTCCACCATCATTGGCTTGTCTGCAGATCATCTAAATATTACAATCCTCCAGCTCTAACTATTTAAACATCCTCCCAGGAACTTGACTGCACGACCCCAGCGAATTGTAACAACATGTACCCAAATATACACACACACACACACACACACACACGATAAAATGCAGATAAGTTGACACAAATATATGAGTGGAAAAATATAGAATCACAGATTGTTACAGGGCAGAAGTAGGCCATTCAGCCCATAGTACCTGCATTGGTCTTATTATTTACCCTGCCTCTATGACCTTGTGCCAATCTCCTGTCTTTCCCCCCAGATCCCTGCAAACTATTTCAATCCAAAGAACTGGGTTATATCCACCCACCCATAACGGTTGGTGGTGGAGGGTTTTCGGACTGGGAGTGAGGTGAGGGGTCCTGCGACCAATGCTGTGCCTCAGGGATAGGTGCTGGGTTCACTCCTTTTTGTCATTTACATAAATGACTTGGATGTGAACATAGAAGGTACGGATAGTAAGTTTGCAGATGACAGCAAAATAGGTGGTTTGGTGGACAGAGAAGAAGGTTACGTTAGAGTACAAGGGGATAATGATCAGATGGACCAATGGGCCGAGGAGTGGCAGATGGAGTTTGATTCAGATAAATGTGGGATGTAGCATTTTGGTAAGGCAAATCAGGGCAGGACTTAATGGTAAGGTCCTGGGAGTGTTGCTGAACAAAGACACCTTGAGGTGCAGGTTCATGGTTCCTTGAAAGTGGAGTTGCGG